GCTGCGGCGCGCGGCGCCAACAAAGCCAGCGCAGAGCAACCAGCCCCAGCCTTGGTTTGCTGCTCGTTTCCACCGCTGCAGACAGCTATTTCCAGACTTTGGGGGGGGCTTGCTTGTTCGGAGGGGTTTTTTCAGGGCTTTTGGTCGGTTTCTTTGGTTTGCTGTGGTTTGGGGTTTTTTTGTTTTGGTTTTTTTTTTTTTTTTAGTTTGGGGGGGGGGGGGGGTGTTAGTTTTTGTTTTGTTTTGTCTTCCTGTTTTCTTAAACATCAAGACTTGAATTAAGACTTATAAATGTAAAAAACCCAGTTCTGGTCTTTTTTTTTTTTTTTTTTTTTTCCTGTGGAAGACTATAAACATTAGATGCAGGATTTAATAGCTTTCTTATTCCTCCTTTCCTAAATCTTGTTATTAACACATCAGAGCTTATGAAAATTACTAACGATACTAGAAAAGGTTCATAAAGAACTCATAAAACGGACTCAGCTACAGTCAGTTTTAAAATGCCTTTCAGGAACATGTGCTGTAGATTAGGAAAGTCACTTGTAAAAACAGCTTTGATGAGGTATCTGCATTACTGCATGCAGTAATGTTGTTCGTAGGCACAAACAATAAAAGTAAATGATGGATTATACTGGGGAAGTTATGTAATCACCACTTTGTGCTTTAAAAACACGTTTCAGAAATATTACGGACTACGTGATACCGCAATCAAGATGTTCTGGAAGAAAAAGAAAACCTGCAGAAGTCGGGAATTGCGGATTCTGAATGGACTGTGGGTCCAAAACGAGATCACAACCCACGCATTCTGCCTGTATTCAACAGCATACAAAATACTCTTATTTTTAACACTGCACGTGCTGCGAAGATATTTCTTATATATTTATGCCTACTACTGAAACCATATTGCAATTTGTATCTTTGCTATTGGAACTGTACCTTAAGTTTTCCAACTTATATTTAAACTCTCACTACTTTCATAACAAATCTCTGTTCTCATCTGTTAAAGAAAGGAACCTCTCCGCTTAAGTATGAAATTGGGTTTTCAAGCAATGTTATTGAAATGGCTGCATTTTCTAAATGCATTTCCATGCATTTATTCTGTCTATTCGGTGCATTAGGATGAATATACTTTAGCACACGCCACATGCCAGAACCGTGTACATAAATCAAAGCTCTGCCAGATAGGAGACTCGCTTCTTTTAAGGACAAACAATACATATTTTATATATAAACAGATGTTACCAGTGCATAAAAAAGCCCTGTCAATGGCTTTTGGGGTAAAAACCCACTATAAATAAATTCTGGGGTAAAAGACCCCACCTGTAACTCTTCACGACAGCTTCTATGATGTGTGCTTTACGAAAAACATAGACAACGACATTTTCTATTTTTCCTGGCCCTCTCTTTCTTGCTCTTTTAAAATAGAAACTTAACAAGCAAGCCCACCTCCATGTTAAAAATAACATTGAGCGGGGAAATTAAAAACAAACCGCTCTTTCTGAATCGCGTTATACCATGTGTTGTCCAGCAAACACTAGCAACCTTCATCCGGCACACTAGCAGTTACAGGCAATAAATGCCTGTACAGGAGAGTGTTTTACATTAGGGCCAGAATCTTGCAAAAATAAGCAAGCAGGCAGGCAGAGAGCACCCCATAATCAAGAGGCGGCAAGCTGAGCAGAGAAAATGCCTTGTGAATTTAGACTTTCCCAAGTGTTGCGTGAGGGGAGGCGGAACCTTTTGAGTTCTTCTTGGAAAATAACTTCCAACACACAATTTGGTACCAAAGGCACAAAACAAATCTCAGCTAGTTAAACACCGGATGGGAAACTGCAATGCTTGGGGGAACCATCATTATACGTACAGTTTGAACTAGGGAATCGCAAGAATTTCTGCAACAGGATAAAGGTACCAATAAATGACAATGTTAGAAACAATCGTCACAAGCAAAAACACCGTGGAAGCAAGGGTTCGTTCCTTTTGCGCTGTCATGAAACAAAGGACATGAAGTACAATGTTTTACACATGAGATAAGAAAGCTTGTGTAATGACATAAGCCAAATGCAAACCTATAATCTCCAGCCTTCCTTCTCGATCTAAACTGTTTGACTGGTTTTTTGACTCAACTCCCACATTCTCTCTCATAGGCTTACATAATTACTACTCCTGACCACTATAATTTATAGCTGCAAAAGCTTATCTCAAGACAGAGTTAAGGCTGAGAGCCTAGGCAATTAAGTGCAAAACATTACAGAGATATTAGAATTATTTCAAACAATGGTGCAGTCTGCATGCTGTTGCTATCTAACAGCAAAAGGGGAAGCTCAAAGTCTTCAGCCCTTTACGCTTGATGCAGAGCTTGAAAGCCCTGGCTTTGTGTATGTGAGAAGGAAAACAGAAATCCCACATCAAAAAGACCATTCCTGCGCCAATCATAGCAGAAAAAAAAAAAAAAAAAGTACTTTAAATGCATTGCATCAGGGATTCATTACTGACACATCAACACATTTATGTTACTGATCCATAAATGTTCTGTACAGCGTTTCTCTACGCTGAAGTTTTAAAGTAGCCGATACACAAATATTGAATCTTCATCTTTCTCCTCACCTAAGATAAGGAAAAGTAATAGCGTTAGTACGGACATCTGCAGGGCCTTATCCGCCTCAAGCTAACCTTCAGCTGACAGTTGTTCCTCGAGTGCGTTAAGCGTCAAAGACGTCTTCTTCTGGTTGAAAGCTTTTTTTAAATGCAGAACGTAAGCAGCTATTTATACCTACGTGCATCACCTCTGAGAGCTAACTTACTCTTCCCTAAATAGAAAAATTACATTAAAATTATTTAAAAAAAAAAACAAAAAAACAAACAGATTAAAAATTTTGAGAGGATGCAGCTCATTATTAAATTATTACAAAGACTGGTTCACTATGTTCACTCTGATATAAGCCTAAAAGTCAAAAAAATACTTTGATAATTTGAAATATCTGCTCTGTGAGAAGAATTAATTGCAACTACATTCAGTTTTAAGTAACTATGGTCTGTCCCAACCCCTCTCTCATACACATACACAGAACCCAGGTTGCAAACAGATTCCCAGAAGGGACACGGCCAAGTTAAACACTTGTGAACAAGAGCGGTGTCTTGGAACAGATTTCACACAACAGTTGATACCAGTACTACCAACATATTCAGATAATGCTTTATTTACGTAAAACTCAAGTGGATTGTCATTTGCCAGAAGAACCGTATCTGGTGTGGGACAACAGGCCAGAGCGTGAAGTGGAATTTGAAAACAAACCGAGTTCTTACCCTCATGCCAAGTACCAAAAAGCCAATCTCCTCCATCAGCGGGTACTTGCTGACCTGCTGCTGTATCTTCTCAGCTGAAGCATACGGATCGTAACTTTTCTGACCTATTTTTACGTCCATTATGCAAGGCTTATTAAACTTACAGGTCACATCTTCCAGTTTTAGATACGTATCTGTCAAAAAGAAAAAACTTTAATAAACAGTGGGTCAAAGCAAAATAATTACATAGTTTCTGCTGAGCTGCTGTGGAGGAAGGAGAATAGTTTAAGGCTTAACATCAGGCGAGTTCTTTTAAGAGCCAGTTTGTCTCTGAACACAGACTAAATCATGGTCATCGACACCCACAAATTCTGTTGGCATTACATTCTAAATGCCTTATTGTTTAGAAAATTGTATACAATTAAAGTGTGCTAACCTAACACTCAAATTCAAATTATTGCCCAGATGAAATTCATGAGTAGCTTTTATTAAGCCATTAACATACTTCAAATAGCATTAATAAGCACATACAAATGCAGGTTACTACATGGCTGGTTTTGCAACAGAGATGGTGTTTTCTTTCTCTGGGTGAAAAGGCTAGAATTAAACTGGCAAATTTTCTTTGCGTCATTTTAAAAACGAAATTAACATTTCAGAGTCCTACCCTACAGGGGCCGAAATGCATCTCGTTTTTCTTCTTTTTATCCCACTCCCATCTGTACTCATTTCTCATGGCACACCTTTGGGTAAAAAACACTCCTCAAATCCCAGGCTGCCTTTCATCCATTTCCAAAAGTCTCTTTGGGAGGTTGGGCGGACCAAAAAACCCCAAGCCCTTGGAGCACCTGAAGATTTAAAGGAGTATCTAAAACCTGGTCAAACTGGTTTACGCTTTTCTCCAGTGCAGGTAAGAGGCTATTACCAACATGATCTACAGCACCGATTGTCAGAACACAACAAGAAAATAAACTCGATTAACTGCTCAAGTCGCAGACAGCTCTGCTCGGAGGAAGCTTGCACAGATCTCCAGCCCTGGCCAGGGCACAATACGCACCAAGACAACACCCAGCATTAACACGTGGCTCATTCTTCACGTCGGCTTCTGCAAATCCACCTGTTAGCAGTCACAAGCCTCATGTTAGTTTGTTTTTCTTTCCAGTACAGCCTATTCCATGAGCTTTAATGCAACCTGAATACACAAAACCATTGTACTATTCCCCCACCCCTGCAGCATAACCTAAAATGGGACTGCCAAGGAAAGCAAAACCAGTTCAAGTTTGAAGAGAGAAGAGGGACGACAACGTGCCTTGTTTTGATAGCTGTCCAGACAGGTAACAAACCCAGTTAGAATCAAGATAAAGGGAACAAGCAACGTCCCACTTCCACTTAGTAAGTGGAAACACTTTCTTAAGGATAAGAAATGAAAGGGACTTTTATTACTTTAACAAGTCCTACTTGGAGCTTCAATTTTTACACCATCACGATCGAATGTCCCAATTCCCCACAGTACGTATTTATCAATACGTTTGATTTAATCCTTAGACGCCTGCTTTATGTATAAATGGGACTAAGCGTATTGTTAATGTGAAGTCATCCTCAGGAAAGCATGTCAAACCAATACACTCTTAAAAAAAAAAAAATCCAGTCTTCTACTAACTCACTGTATCAGCTTACAGCGCTTTCCAATGTCCTTAGGCCTACAGAATCAATCGAGCTACAGCAAAGAGTTTCATTATGGACTAGCTCACCCATAAACCAGGTTTGTTAACTACAACTGCAGGGATAGCCAAGCTAAAATAACTCATACGTAACTGTGAGAAGCCACGGGCAGCAAACATACTTGGTATTTGCTCACTAGATATCTCCTAAGGACAAGGGGGGCAAATATTCTCCCTACCAGGAAGGGTATTCTGCATCACCTGAATGGCAGAAAGAGATGCCACTCCTTCTATCCAAAGCTTTTATACACAGGTCTGATTCAGTCAGATATTAGCACAGCTTTTGCAGGGCTTTGGGGAACCACTACTGAATCCAGGGGAGTCAATATAACCTGTTAGCTCTCTGTTATTAAAACAAAAATTGTAAAAACCTAAGCATCGTCCTTCATGCCCATCCTTTTTGCGTATTATGGAAATCACTGCAATCAACAGATTTGTGTCATCACTCTAAACCAATCCAGAAACCAACAACTAAATGAAATTCAAGTTTTTCAGTACTTTGTTCTCAGAAGCACTGAGCCAGAGGTACACGATGGGAGGTGGGGAAAGACAATAAATACAGGAACAGCTCAGAAACTGGCTGCAGTCCTTCACCGCCAACTCTAAAATGCGTTGGGTTATGTTGTGAGCACCTCTGGACTCAAACTGTTACAAATACAAAATTATACAAATTGCAAGTTGCCACAAACTATACAAACTGTTTAGATGCAATGTTTTTATCAACCCTAAAATGTAGCTGCAGGTAAAGTAGTGTAAAACATCTGTTTCCATAGTGCAACAAGAAGTGAACCCATGAAAATAACTAGTTTAAAAAGCAGAACTTAAGTCTCCCAAAGCCTAGCATACTTCCCTTCAGACAACACGCAGGCAAGAGTCGTGCTCTTTCCATCAAAGGCATCTGTAGAGCACCCATGGTCATCCGCTGTCCTCTACTGCACTGGTCCAAATCCCTCTTTATAAACACACAGCACCAACATTCAGCACCTCCAAAATATTTAAAAGTTGTAAATATCTGGCACTTTTTAGTTCCCCAGCCATTTCAGATCTGTAAGCTAGACTATTTCCCTAACTGACCTCCTAAAAATGTCACAATTACTATTTTAAAAAAAATTAAGCATTAAAATAACTTTGGAGCTAACACTAGCCCTGGGAAATACTAATTACTTGGCAAAGCCTATGAATTATCCAGAAATGACTCATATCTCTCTCACACTTTTCGGAATTATGATTTAGGTCTTCATCGTTAGCTAACTGCTAGCTCAAAATTAAGGCTATGTTACATCTGTTCAATGCACACCCCCACTCTCAAAAAGCTTTTCGTCCTTGCGGGGAGATCAATACCACCGCAGACAAAGCATTATACCAAGTTATTTTTTTTCTTCATTACAGCTTCAGAAAAGTGCATCAAGTATTTACGCTTTGTTTTTCCTGGCACTGTTTGGTTCTTATTTGCATTGTGTTCAAGATCTATGGTCTGCTGAAACAGATGCCAAGAGCACGGTGTCGGAATATACCACAACTTTCAACAGTTACCCTGACTACATCTCGAAGCGTTAAGACGAAGGCAAACGAAGTAAGCTTCAGATTCAGACCTCGGCAGGTATCGCTGCTCTACCTGTTCAAGTCAGGTGCTCTCGTAGTCTTGGAGGAGCTGACCCCAAGCATCCTTCTCAAGGTCATCAACAAGTCTGCAGCTGAGCCTAGATAACGAGAGCACTCTCCTTGTTTTGTTAAGCAAAAAATTGCAGATTTTCCAAGCAGTTCAGATTTTCCAAATTAGTCCGTAATACACTGCTAACCCAACATGCTTCTGAAAATCATGCATTTGCCATCTAAAACCAGGTTAAATTAAAATCCCCTACGGAGAAAAGCATTCATAAGGATTTTTGTATCTTAGCTTTGGTAGATAATCCTGACTATATATTTCAAGGATTAAAACAAATCATTCCTCAGAGGCTTGCCTTCCCCCTTTCTATTTTTCAGTGGCAGGGAAGGAGGCAGGAAGACGTGGCTTGACATATTATTTACATATTTTATTACAGTCCCAAAGGAGACAAACCGAAAGACCACCAAAATTCAGCAAGCATGCATGGCACAAACCACTGCAGACTTCAGCACGTACACGCTGATGCATTCAGTCCTCATTGGAATCTGAAGTGACAAAATAACCTGCCAGAGTTAGCATCTTGTCAACATCTGACTACCTCTCATAACTTACAAGACCTCTCTCAAAAACGTATGAATAAGCAGGGAAAAGCTTCAGTTGCTCTCAGTAACAAGGGAAAAAAAAGAAAGGTTTGAAGCTGGCTTATATTTATCTACCCTGTTCTCAGCTTAGGCAACAAAAATTAGAGCACAGTATGAAATGAGTAGCAGTAAAGGTACTTAAAAAAAAAAATGCAGGGGCAACAAGTAGGCAGCAAAACCCAGAACTCTCAGCAGGAGATATAAAAAGCTTAACGTGGCTCCTACATCTTTGTAACAACTTTTCCACTTCTTTATTAATAAACTCCAAATGCCCACAATGCCAGGGAACCCAAAGTTCAAATCAAATTGTCTCCCTCCAATTTTAGATTAGCTTAGGGAGATGGAGTGTCACCCACCTCTAACTCCATCTCCTGTGCAGTAGTACCAGGTGTGCGATTTCAGCGTAAGAGGACACTTATTTTACAGATTTTATTGATACTGTGGATATCGGTCCATCTTTTCTGTCACACTCCCTATATTCTCATTTACAGTTAATACATTTCACCCCTTTCAGCTAGCAATTTCATCCACCCATTTACATTTTCAGCATAGAAGACGGACGCTTCTCCCTAAATATTTCTCTAAGAAAATAAATTCCCTGTGTTCTCCACCTTACCCACCGCAATTCCTGCTACCCTGTCACATGAAAACTCAGAGACAGTCACAGATCAAGTTTCAGAGTGGTCCTAAATTAAGTTACTCTGTTTTTTTCCTACCACAAGCCTACGATTCTCTTCATGTCTGTATGAACCTACTCAAACTCTGAACCCTCTACCCAGGATAACAACTGCGATGCTACACACATAAGACAGCATTCACCAGAGAGCCCTCCTTCTTCCTTCGCTTATGAATAAAAGAACTTTATATGAAACAAGGACACCAATGGCCATCCTCTCTCTGCCCTGGCAAACCAGGCAAGCCGCGTTCCTCCACACAACCACTCTTACAAAAAAATACATACAGTTCAGAACATGCAGCAAGCAGAGTGTGGTAACTGATAGATTGTTTAATTTAATTTTTGGTTTTTTAGAAGTCACCTATGCCCGATTTAGCAACAATAAGGAACGATTGGGTTCACTACTCAAGAGGTTGTATGGAGCTGCGTCCCCAGAGTCTGTAGAGCGCCAAAGGAAAGGTCAGGCTTCCAACGTCAAGACTGCAAAAACCTACAAAGACATCCTCGATCTACATTTAAGAATTAGATACCTTTCTAGCAGCTAGATTCCTTCATGTCACTGGGATGCACCACAGCAGCTAAGCACATTGTTCAATCTTTTGAACCAGAGCTTAATCCACAGCTCATTTGGGGGGACAGGTAACAAGCCCATCCCTGATTTCCCCAAAATAGCCTCTCCGCGCCCCTCCTCTGTGTGGTCACTTCCCCTTTTCCTATTTTTTCTAAACTTGTTTTCCTACTTTTTGCGCAGTCTAAACGCAGCACCGCCGACTCTTTTCGCCTCTGGTGCCAAGCACTGATGCGCACACGCAAGCGCATCACAGAGGTTTTCCTTCACATCTGGCGTTAGCAAAAACTGCATTTGCAAATACCTGCTAAACAACAGATGACTTCCACCGTGAATGGCTACCTCCTTAGCTGCGGATGTACCCAGCACGCATGCGTTCTGTTAAGCTCCATCATCTCTGATGTATTTGATTTCTATCAAGACTACCCAAAACTCATTAATACCGCAGATAACAGAGTTGGCAATGGAGTGTTTTGTTTGAAGCCCCGCCACAGTTTTCTGCGAAGAGGCCTCCTGACAGTGCACGGTCTTTTCAAGAAGCAAAGCAAACAAGATCAAAAGTTACTCTTCCTTTAAACGGTTATTCCTACTGGCTACGTCTGGACTACTGGTGGAGACCTGCCAAAATTCAGCCCCGTGGCACGCAGTGCTAATGAATTCCCAGCGTAAACGAGGGATGTGTTGAATTACTGTATTTTGGCTAGACCACGTATTTTTACATGTTAAGATCCTACTGTGACTAGAAAAAAATCGATTTGCAATTTGGAGGGGACATTAAGTGAGCTCCATGACACACATAAAATTATGAGGGAAGGGAAAAGATAGCTCCGGGAGAGTTATTTGAGTTAGTGCCAAATACGAAAGTGTGAAGGCAACTCCGAGCCAAGAAAGCGCTGGGTACTACCACAACCCTCCTTGCATTTCTTTTTGCAGAGTTCAGACAGTGTCTTTGGACACTATCTTACTACTCTCTTTGGAAAACAAGTCTATCAAGTGACAGCATAAGCAAAAAAAGACAGAGTTATATTAAAGGAGCAGAGCATCTAGTTCTGGTGCCCATGTATTTAAATAGGCTCGTTGGCATCCTCTTCTTTCTGTACGTTCCAGAAGCTTCATCTCCCCAGTGTGAATAAGAAAAGTCCCCAGAAGAAAAACTAGTTCCTGTTTTAAATACATCAGTAATAGCCATTTTCTCTTGAAGAGACAATCTTCCAATCATCCTCCCAAAATACCTTTTTCTTCCTGACTCCTAACATGTTTTACAAATGCAAAGCTAAGATACCGGAGCTTTGTTCCGTTCAAACCAGTAACACAGGATGACAAGCAGAGCTCGCCAGCAAGGTACCTGCCGACGTAACTGCTTTGTATGGCACGCTGTGGCGATGGGATCCAGCCTCTGGAGATCCAGCAGCAGATTCCAGTTTGAACGCCTCCATAGGCCCCACCCTATCCATTTCTTCTTCCTTACGCACCCACACGGCGCCCGTCTCTTGCTCCGATGGCCTGACCAGACATAAACATGCAACCAGGCCGACACGACCCAGACCAGAGCAGCAGCTCCGGGGCAATATGCATCAGGTCCAGCTCCTCGGGGAAACGTCTGCCGTACAAACGGCCATGCCCCATCTGCCCTGGGAGGAAGACCCCAAAGACCTAATCCAGCCAGAGGACTGCAAACTGGAACCAGTTGTTAGAGGGAGCATTAGTGGGTTACAAAACAAAACAAAACAAAAAAAAAAAAAACCAAAACCCCTACGGAGCTCACAACTGCCAAAAATCAGTCTCCAGAAGATTTTTTCCAGGAGGTTTGGATTAACAGATAAAATTAGAACAGTACCATTTGGTGCAGTAGGTGGTGACCAGACACCGAAGTATTTTGGCAGATATTCCCGCAGCTCCAGAAGAATGCTGTCGCAACACTCGGAGTCATAAACCTGAAATAAATTAGGGAGGGGTGGAGAGATCATCAGATTAAAACATTCATTTTATACTTCCAATTGTCCCATAATTATAATTTCTTACCGTCTTTGTTTTCATGCGTTTGAGATTTCTACTTTACATTTAAAAAACATACAAGAGGAAGATGATAATTACCACAGTCCAACATAAACGAATAGTATCCTTTCTTTCAAATTTTAAAGTGGAAAAGATGCACCAACTCGAAGAATAATTTACGGCTTAGCTCGAGTAAAAATCTAACCTGTAATTGTTAGCATCAAAGCCTATTTAGCGAAAAGGGTGTTCTCCCATCCTGGATCCACGACAGTATAGGATTACTACATCGTATTGTATAGCCACAGCTTAAGTTGTATCAGGCAAACTGTACAAGCTCAGACAGGATAGTATTTCCCCATTTCCTCCACAACAACTCATCCTGTAACTACATCACACAGACAATGCACAACTCAAATATATTTCTTTTCATTTGCTTTAACGCTTTCAACATTTTTTTCAACTTCTGTAAGAAAAACAAGAACAGTTTGGGAACAGCAGCTGGCTTACACTCCCAAAGGAGTAATTCTTCGCAGAGTTAAAAGGGGGCCTTGGATACTATCTGCTACGGAACTGCGTGACTGTCACCAGTTGGCAGCGGTGGTGTTAGGAGGCTTTCAAAACCATTTCCTTGACCAGATTCCCCCCCACCCTGCTCAAAAATCTAGTTAGAGACAGAGGGGGTAGCCTCCAGGATGGTTCAACATGCTTTGCAGACTACAAGATCGATATCCACACAAGTACAGGTTACAAGGATGATTATTCCATTTCGGAACCATCTCCTCCTAACCCCCTTGCAGCTATCCCAGTTCTGACGCTATCAGGCTCGTGCCCTGCCCCTCAACCCTGCAGCAGCTGCGCAGCAATACCCACAGATGCTGCACGCGAGTGACCAGGGCAAGCTAACAATTCTGCTTTCACTTCAATACTCGATGCACAGGAGCGCAGTCAGAGCCCGCTGCAAAGTCGGAAGCAATGCAAAAGATTATTTAAGATGTTAGCAGAGCGCTGCAGAGTTGGCTCAGCTCACGTGCTTCGAGACCCACATTTAACCACAGTGGGAGAATACTTTGCGATGGAAACTACTAAGCGCAGGTATCGCAACATACGTGCCTTTAGCGTTGTAATATTAATACGACTAGGGAGGAAAAAAACCCTAGACCCAAAGTCCAGCTACTATTTTAGCGCATCAAGGCAAGCCTCGGCTATGATCACCGATGCTGTGTCACTCTAGACAGAGCCTCACGCAGCAGCGGAACGTTAAAATTAGTCAGCGCGGGTTTGTGCGAAGTTTAGGTTTCATCGCAGAAACCTCAAACTGGGCAAACTCAGATCACCAGCGCGCTTCAAACGCACGGCGCGGCTCCGCAGCCCTTCAGCCACATCTAACACGGGGCTCTCCTGGGCTTGTGCCAGCCGCAATTCTGACACCTTTATGCCAGCACCGTTACTGGGCAGTGACCGAGAAGGTGATAAAACCGAATCCACACCAACATTACACTAGAGCATTTAATGTGACCCATGCCTTTAACCAGCTCATGGTATAAGCCCCATTTTGAAGATCTTAAGGAGGGGGCTGAATCCTCAAAGCTCAAACCCCACAAATACGCGCACAGCGTGATGCAAAACACAGACGTACGCCTACCGCCGCACCCTCTACCGCTACTGTTGCTATCTTAAGCATACAAAAGTTGCTGGGTGTGTATCTTACAGCCACTGATCTCTTTCCACACATCCTGGTTTTGACAAGCTGCCATGGCCTCTGAGGACTACAGGTAATTGTATGTCTAGGCCTATTTTTCCTCCATGTTAACACAAGCTGGTATGCTGATATTCTTGTGCTCTAAGGCAAAAAAACATTGCTTGTCCCTGGGATCAGTGGCTGCTGTTTATTTTTATTCACGCAACATTTCTTCGCTGAGCCTCAGATGTTGCCAGAAGACTGCAATGTAGATTGATCTTACTAGCTTCAGGAAGAAAAAGAAAATTAAGGGTGGGAGAAAAGAGGGAGAGAAGGATTAGCACCACGCAGATGCCGAGGCACAGACCCATCCACCGCTATCTTTTGTAAGAGAGTTCGCTGTTCCCAACCATACCAACAGCTGCTTCTGGGCCAGGACTCCAAGCCCTGACTGGTGGAATTACTTCATGCCATGGGTATTTTCAGACAAGTAATACAAACCCAACTTTTGTTTACTGTGGTAGTTTATGATTATAGCACTTCATAGCCAAGACAGGGAATTGCACTGCACCCAGCACAAATCCTCTTTTCCCAGGTGAACTGAGGCAGATCTGAGAGGCAGCGACCATCATGCACTATCACAGCCTTCACATGGGAGCAAGTATATATATTTAGGACGGGACAAAGAGGAGAGAGGTGGAAGCAAAAAGTGCAGCAGACAAGGAGAAGAAACACTGAACGGAACTGAAAAAACAAGCCAACATAATAAGAACTCATTTGCTTTTAATTTATTGGCACAAAGATTCTGAGAAAGCGGCATGTCAGGAGACCACTTCCATTTTTTAGAGAGAGACAGTACTCTTGCTTTGACTTACTTTTTAATCACCAATGTCAGCTGATTAAACTTAGCAAGTAACTATAAGTATGCTCCTGCATATTTCAAATAGTAGGATACAATAAAGATATTCAGACAACTTATAATGGGGTGTAATATCCCAAAGTCAAGGCCAAACGGGGAAAAGAGCTCCAGGAGCGCTATCTTCCAAGTAGTCTATCCTTTAATACACTGATATAATACATTTTAAATGGAGACAAATCTCACAGTAATGCATTGTTCAGTATCGTTACGTCAGCATAACAGAACTAAGTGCATTATTCCTGTCTCTCAAGAAGTTATCTTGCTCCCAACAGTAATAAACTCCCCCCATAAGTTTGACGTAACATACACAAAGCACTTATTTGACCTTAATATAGCCCTCAATCTCAGCCTGTAAAGTATTTGCATGTCAAACAAGAACAGGCACTCAGTTAATAAAGATCCGAGGAAGTCATTTGGTGTGGGCAAAGCAATAAAACCAGACATTTCGGGAATTATGCTTATTCTTATGCAGGAGAGAAACACTTCTGCTCATTAGAGAGGGGCCTCGTCAACAGCACCCATGCCATGGGCATTTCTTCTCATTTTACACAACGGGGCAGCAAGCTACACATTTAGATGTCACTCAGAATGCCAAATATAAACGTATACAGGACAAAACCAGCCCTGAAATTACACAGGAAATAAGCCGTGCACCTCATGCCCCAAAAGGTATCGCTACCGATACTGCTGGCAAACTCATGGAGGGGCAGGTTATCATCTACCCCAGAACAACCTTTAGAAATAAACCATTGTGTTTTTACTTATACCAGCAATATTCCAATTTCATTTCAAGCAGCAGCGTTTTTTTTTTTTAAAAAAAAAAAAAAAGTAACGGGTCCATTTCTCCAGCATACACTGACAAATACAAGTTATTTCTGCTTTACTGGTAACTGTACGTAAAGTCTTCATCCAACAAATCAAGAACTGCAAAACAATTCAGTGTCAGCTCAGCCAGGGGAGGTATCCGTTCTACATATCACAGGCTACATTCTTCCAATAGCACAAACTGGAGACAGAAAATGTAATAACTGTTGGGCTTAAAAGCAAGTAAACAGGATGCTGACGTTTGGAGGGCTCACAACAGGACCATTACAAATTACAGCAACTAACTCATAGGAAGAATATGCCCCAGATATGCCCTGTGGCAGCTCAGAGAGTCTATAGACACCGTGAAGTCATAATTTCCAGTTACTCGGGACTTTTTAATTCCGAGGCAAACTTACCATCCCTTAGTTTTTAATCCAAAGTACACTCTGTTTGTTTTGCTAAGTCCGATTCAAACAGATTCATCTGGTTTTTAATGCAAACAGGGGCTGCTTGGGAGAATGGGAATGTTCTTTTCCTTATTTAAAGCAGCATGACATTTGGGTTTTTTTGTTTTCTAAAGACTAGCTAATCACATAAATGACAGAGGGAGGGTAGACCACATGTTTAAATTTCAACAGGAAACTAGTTCTGGCAGTACAGACCTGTCTTCGATTGTCCTGATGAATACCACTTTGACAGAAACGTAGTCTGAAGAGAATCTTCTAAAGTACATAAAAGAGTTGAATTAAAAGAATCTATTTTAAACTTTGCATTTATTTTAAAGCTATTTGAGTAGGCAACTTTAAACGCCAGAGTAGGCATGTCAGTCTGAAGCATCACCTTTTCTTGTTGCCGGCTATCATAAACGGTCCCTAAAGGCGGTAGCACTAGAGCTTGCAGAGACTCCGGATACACAACCAGCTGCCAACATCAGGCAGAAATTTCAGTTTCCAATGCGTTTTTTGGGGGGTTCTTGAGGAGTGGGGAGCAGTTTAAGTCATGCGCTCAAATTAGCAAATGCAAGATTTACAGATGATAGTGCAATCTTAATTCTGTCTCCCAATGTGTACGCATTATATTACAGACTTTAATTACCTGGGCGCACACTGCGTTTCCCTCCGGGCCCCTACATCACCCAGTTACACCAGGCAAGTACAAGGGCCAAAAAAACTGAGGTTGAAACAGCAGTTGTGATTTTAGCAATTCATAACTGCTTGGCTTTACAACTCAGATAGACCTTGCTTCTTTTTCAAAGTAGTACCATCATGTTTTGACTTGCGAGCACCCACAGTATTTGTTTCCACAAAAATGACTGGAACTGAGCCAGTTCTGCTTAATTCAAAATATCTGATGCCAGAGTAATTTCAAAAGTTACATGTTTGCAAATGCTGTTGTACTAAATGCTATTACACCAAATTGCTTATTTCACTATCTAATATATAGCCGTACTAGACATGAGATTGTAATCATTCTCACTGAAGATACCCACAGAAAGACAAAAAAAAAAGCTTAAATCAGGATTATTCCCACAATCT